TTTTTTCTTGTGTTAATTATTCTTATACAATTTTGGTGTAATGTGCTTTTGCCACATCAGGTCAAAATATAAAAATTTCATTTCGATAATTCTTTTTGGAACAAATGAAATTAATCTTTTTACAATGCATTTATTTAAATATACATCTTGATGAACTGATTGCTTACTTTCATGAATATATACATCCGAAACTCTTTTGAATGACATGGCCATCCATAACATAAGTCTCAATTCCAGTCTCTTCTTCTGTTTAAACTTAACATTCACAGAAGCTGTACTTAACGTCGCTTCTTGGTAAAAATTTTGTTTGCCTATATTTTAAACATTTATTCAATATATTATAAATCGTTCGTCTCGGAAAACTTTCTTTAGTAAAATATTTAACTGTCGTTTCACAAGATTTATTTGATGAATCGATATAAAATTACAAATTCGTTGAGCTACTGTTTCTCTTTTTTACATGTCATTTTGTTGATGAATATTCGACGAAAACAAATTATGTACAGTTCGAAAGAGCGAAAGATTTTTTATCAACTGATTAAAAGAATTATCGTTCTAACACATATTCAAAGACGTGATATAGGGATCAACATTTTTTACCATTGTTTCGAAATATATGAAAAGTGTGAAATTGTTTTTAATGTGTCAGTCTTTCTTCTCATGCTGTTTTGCTTATAAGTGTCTAATGAAAACCAGCAATATACAGATTGAAAGAGGAGAAAATTTCCTATCGAGTAGTAAAAAAATTTTCTTTCAACAGTTGCGTCTACCCAGGTCGAACAAGCACAGTCGTAAATGATCGTATACGGAGAAATACGACCAAATAAATGGCTCAGTATTACTATAGTAAATCTCCATATCATATACGGAGAAAAATACGATCCTTTACCATTTTCGTATACGCAGTCCGTGTACGGTCGTTTACAGTCGTATACGAAGTCTGCAATCGTCGACCTGGGTATGAGAAAACACAGAGACTGACATTTTATGTCATTACTTTTGTACCGTATGATATTTGTATAAAAATGAACATAGTATTTTTATATACAAAACAATCAGACAGATAAAAACAAGATGTAATAAAAAGAACAATTAATTGGTTCTAAAGAAAAATTCTCATCTTCATGTCTTGATAAGCCCTTTAGTATTTATCAATATTGAAATAATTTGATCAATTTTTTGAAACCTTTGTAATTGTGGATGTGAATAAGTAGTAAGATTCAAGTCAAAAATAAAATCAATCAAGCATTTCGGATCTCATTGAAGAAGTTATTTGATTAATTAATTTCATAAAGAATATATACTCAGCGGTATATTGTTCGAATTAGTTAAATAAATATGAATGTTTGCTTCATTTTAAATATCAATCGATGAGAGTAATCTTCTTCATTGGTAATTACAACAATCAGACTATTTGTATCGAAAAATTTGAGTAGATTTATCAATATCGTCACTAGGTCTTTTCAGTCGAATTAAATAATCAATGGTTATTCACTTCATATTAAGAACATGCATCGATTTACAGGAGCTATACTTGATCCATTAGTGTATACGCCAGTTCATTTAAGCAAACTGACAAAAGTAAAATTTGCCAAAACAATCTACTGACATCCTATTTGAATATCGTAATTTTAATCATATTTCAAGCCTATAAAAAGTCTTCTGATAAGTACAATTATTTTGAGTGCAATGATTTACAAGTTCTGGATTCTGATGATTAAAAAAAAAATAGTAGCACCAAATAAAGTTTTCTTTTATATTGACATTACATCTAAACAATAATATCTCTGACAGTTTCATTTGTAAATATAACCATTATCATTAAAAACTTCTGTGAAACTACGTCAAATCTCTAACTCTATTCTCAATTATTTGTGTTTTATCTCACTAAATCATCATCATTCTCACAATGGCTATTGATCAATGGAATATATTATGTAGGTATAAAGGTTGAACTTGAATTTGATATTATTGGTTTCTCTTTTGTTTGTCTCATCAATTATACTGCAACTCTTTTGGTTCAATCTGAACGATTGAACAACGATAAAGATATGAAATTTATCGATGAGAATGACTGTCTATTCAAATGTTTGCCATATTATTCATTCAACAGACATATGCGAGAGATTAATTTCACTTCTTCTAGTTGAACATTATCACATAAATGTGAAGTTGACAGTATGTGACTTCACAACTTCGCAGAAATCATAAATTTTCTAAAGATAAAAATACAATAAAACCTACTATCTGTACATTCTTTGTTTTTCATTAACTAATATAACAAAATACTCTTTTCATAGAGAAACAATGTACATATGGATGTAAAGAATACTTATCGGTTAATGGTTGTAGACAATTACATCATCATTTTAGTAATCATGGACAAAACTATAAAGAATTAAAACGAGCATTTTTTTTAAAAACAACATAATTATGCAATGAAATGTCATGCATTGAAAATGTCTCGTGTTTCTTTGACAAATAAGAAGATATTTTTTCGAAAGAAATGCATCATTGCTTAAATAGAAAGATTAAATACGAGTAGTTTTTAAATTTAGTTTTCTTATTTTAAATTACTGTAATCGAGAGTTTCTTTTTTTTTTCGTTTTACAATAAAAAGTTTTGAAAAAACTATTAATCTTTCAGATGTTAACGAGTATTAATAGCAATATTAAACGATGGTCAGTAGAATCATACGTTCCCTATACAAATAATCAATATTTATTTATATGACTATTGTAAATAATTTTGAGACTGAATTAATTTCATATTGTTCAATTTAATACTTTCGATCGTACTTGATTATTATCAAAATCAATTAATTGAGTTTAAAATTGGATTGTAAGAACAATAAGGAAAAATGGACTCAGTATCATAGTTATATACATATATTTAGTTTCTATTAATTGAATTCAGATTCCATCTACTTATGGTTTGAATTTTTATGCAAATGAGTTCGTATGTATATATATATATATACATTTCTAGTATCGCTTTAATGTACTCATTGAAATATACAGAACATTTTTTTGAAATATACTTCTATGTTCTATTTACCATCTTTGATCTCATATGGTTATATAGAGAATGAGTTAAAATAAAATATAGTTCTTAACCCTCATACGGCTACCTATTATAAAAACAATGTCTGTCATTAATGTTTGCATGATTGAAAACTGCATATTAGTTATTAATAAGAATCTATCATCTAAAAATAATAGGAAATGTTGTGTTATTTGATTTCACTTGACTTGTCATTTGTATAGCTTCTGACTTGTCCATAATCAATGTTAGACTTTGTATATATACGTAAGTAGGTGCAAATCTCTAGACTAAAATAATGACAAATCGAACATATATGTTATTGGTTGAAGAACTATAACTTATTTTTTTCTCATGCAATTGTTCGCTACAAATAAGGATTATGTTCGCTATGTTGAGCAATGTTTAATTTGGTCTTACCCTTGAATGTGTTATGAATAAGAATAAGAATTGAATTGAATACAGTGATAGAATGGTTCGATTATATCTCTATGTTGTTCAGTCTTAATACAATTCTTTTACAAAATATCTCAATAAATTTTATAGAAATCTCATTTATTTTTAATCGATTGCTTAGAAAATCAAGTAAATATTTACAATAGATGAAAATACTAGTGCTTCATATCATGAAAAAAAGACTTCAATCAAAATTCAAAAACAACTTTTCAGATTGAATAAAAACATTTTTTTTTTTTTATACAAACATCAAAATTCTCTACCGACAAATACATACAACAGAAAAAAAAATATCAATAGATCAATATTTTATTGATTATTGTTCTTTGCTATTAAACATCTATATCATTAATATTATGTTGTTTTTTAGTAATTATTGATTTAAATGAACTCATTGTTTTAGTATTTATATCATCTGATATAATTTGATAATTTTTTTCATGATAATCTTTATCTAATAAAATACGTGGTTCAGGTATATAACGTTGTAATATATAGAGTACAATCATTTCAATATAAATAAATGATTTAAAAAATACTGATACAACGATTAATGTAATATTTATCGATAAAAAATAACTATTCGATGATGAAGATATTGAACATGGAGATCCGATTTGTCCGATAAGTGCAAGAAAACTAATAATAATAACAGTACTTGCAAATAAAGTTGAACAAACATGAATAATAAAAGCTATAAAACAATAAAGAGAATTTTTTTTCCAAATAAGTAACCAAATACTAATTGGTGCAGCGAATAAAAATGGTGCTGACCAAAAACCAACACCAATACGAAATGCACATGTATTAGTAACTGTTAATGTTATCTGTAAGCCTAATATAGCAAATACACAAGCCAATTGAATAAGTGAACATGAAAAGTGAGTAAGAACATAAAGAATCGATCGAAATCGATTTCTAATCGATATGTTATCCATCTATCAATGAAATATGTTCAAAAAAAAAATGTTCAACTTATCATTGTAAGTCGCTCATTATTAAAAGGTCATCAGCACGACAACGGCAACAAAATAGTTTTCACTTTTTTTTTCTTTTTCTCCTTTTTCTTGACTTTTTTTTTTTTGGCTCATATAGAACGCAGCATGAGACATAAAGAGAACAGAACTTACTAAGAAGTCGACGCTACTATCATGACAAAAAAAAAAACATAGAGAACGAGTAAGAAAAGAAAGAAAAGTAAACCACTTCACTTTTATGCTCACAGCACTGTTCATGCAATAGATTGCTAGAAAAAAAAAAGAAATGTAAGATTTCATTGAATTATAATCAATGACGATGACTTGTCCTCTATAACACTTCAATTATTTTACATATCGAATCAATCTTCTGTATCACATTGATAAAATAACATGTACAAATATTTATTTTGTTTTTTTTCTATTCATACTTTTATTAGTTACACATGTAAAATAGGATATAGAAAAAAAAATCGAAATATAATAAAACAAAAAAAAATCTGACATAACCAATGGAATTATTATCTATGTTGACAAGTCATTATAATTTTCAATTAAATAATTATCTGTCGAAAGACATTTTCCCATTTTAATTGAATCTAAAGAAAATATAAACAAGAAAATTTCTTAATAAAAAAAAAAAAAACTTAATAAACCTATAACCCATTGTTCATTAACTTGTGGATGAATAATTATCTGAAGTATTTTTGATGATCGTCCAACAATAATTTTTGCACGACCACGACTAATTGTAATCTTTAAAAGAGAAAAAAAAAATGGAATTTTTTTAAAAATAGTTCTTGAAGATTTACATTTCCACCTAACAATGTAATTAATTTAAGTAATAATTGACGTTGTTGAACAAGAGATGTTAAATAAATTAAACCACATTCACTAAATAATTCAATTGGTTTTTGTTGTTGACGCGATTTACGATAAACATTTAATGATGGATTTGAATTAAAGAATCTTTTTGGTTCAAATCTATTGAAATATAACCATTCACCAATATGTGATGAAGATTTTAGCCATTCAAATATTACTATACGACTATAAATTAAATAATTTAGATTATTTCCTATCTTGCTATAACATTTCAATTCAAAATGACAGACAACACCGTTGATATTAAAAGTACTGCTACGGATAAACATATGTATACAAAAAAAAAATTGACAAGGGTCTTATATAGAAGTGACATGAATTGTTTTTTATTTTGTTCAGTCGTCCAGCTCTATTACATTTTCTAGATCGATTGAAACAAAATAATCTAATTGAGCATAAAATTAATTTCGTCCTATATAAACATTTATGTATGTTTATGTTCAAATTAAGATTACGTCCAATATCAGATCGAAACGTAAATTAGAGTTAAAATTGAAACTGGTCTATAGATCAATGTCGAATTTGGATCCTTATCAATGTAATGAAAGAGAACAATGGTATTTTAACTAACGTTTCTCTTCGAATGACGATTCGAACTTAAGTTTGATCTCTACCAAACCGTATATGATAGAAGGTTTGACTATTTTAATAAGAATAAACAAACTTTTTCTCAACAAGTTTTATCTGAAAAAAAAACGCATATCTATAAAATATTTTCCAACTGATAAAGACCAGTCAGTTCAGTCCGGTACCAATTACAATTTTAGACTAATACGAGATTGGACGGAATCTTAGTTTGAATCCTCATATATTCTATTTATATCGAAGTAAATTTAAGAGTTTTCAATAATAATAACTAACCATCCATAAATAAGTGCAAGGATAAGATCAAGTGTTATTGTCATATGAGGATCATCATTAGGTAAAATAACATGTGTTGTTGTTAAATCAATTATTTCAGATGTAAAACAATCACCCATACGACGAGTTAATCGTTTAGCTTCTTCGATTTGTCTATAAATAAAAACAAAACTATTGTTTAAATTTTGTATTCTTGAAATACAAACGTTAATGTAAAACCATAAAAAACAAATGAATAATTTGCTGGTGCATTTGGTAAATCTTTAATTGATGAAAATCGATTATTTAATTTAGTATCAGTTAATTGTTCAGGATGTTTAGCTTGAATACTTTGAGAAAGTACCATAAGAGGTGGTGGTCGAAGAAGATATCGATTTTCATTATTATTATTATTATTATCATCATCATCATCATCATATATTTCAAATAAAATTTGAGATTTTGTGTTATCATTTATTTCATTTAAAGGTGTTACATTGGTTAATGATGAATAATTAAGTGTTGTTATTCGTTGTTTTTTATTATTTTTTGTTACTATTATTGAATTTTCATTTGTTTGTTGATTATCGAAAAAATTTGAAGATAATCGTGATAATAATAAAGGAGATGATATTGGTGTTGATTGAGGACGATTGACTAATGCTGAAAATTGTTGTTGACTATCATAATCAATTGATGTAGATGGAGAAATAATGACTTGATTCGATGGACTTGAACCACGACGAATAATCTGCATTAGAAAATGTTTAAAAAAAATTTATTTTTTTTTTTGAGAAAATTTATTTTAGATTTACATTAGTAAAATGAATAATTGGTGATGATTGAGATTGTGATGGAATACTCATTCTTATTTCTAATACTTGTTTTTATATTAATTTATAATTCATCTAAAATATTAAATAAATCAATTATATTTAATTTATAATAAAATTTATTCTTCAAATAAATTTTATCTTATCGATTTGTCGATGAGTAAACAAAAATATGATCAAACCACTATGTAGTTCACAAACTAATCATATTATATCTATATGTATATTTCAACACTTAGTTATCTATCTGATTGATTACTTGTAGTTTTTGAAAATTCAGTTTTAATTATCAGAAGTATTTCTAGTGCTCTTTATTATATAATAGAATTTTTTCTGATTAATCGAAACAATATATGAAGATTATTTCTATTGATACAAGTGAAGAAGGTGGATATCTAAATCATATAACATAAGAACTATAAATGAGATATTTTTATTTATAACAGACAGATGTCTTTGTTCATTTCCTATGATTCTATTTTCTTTTCTTTTTCTAGAAACAATAATCATATTAAAAATTCTAGAAAAAACGAAAACGATTTAATTTATATATTATTTACAGATCTAAGTGAAGTCAGAAAAAAAAACTTACAGAAAACTCTATGGAATGACTGATTTTTTGCGATTTGTTTACTATCAGTCAGGATTTGAAAACATTGAAATATAATTGCTCTTAATCGTATAAAATATTCAAACAATTATGTGTATCGAAGACAAGAAGAATAAGAAAGATGATTTCATCTCTCAAATTCCGAGTTTGTTCAATTGTGAGACAATGGGTTTTTTTTTAGTCGAAGATCCACTTATAATAAAACAGCTGTTTCTATGAAATATGCACTAACTTCAGTTACATACAGTGCTTTTTTTGTGTGCAATACAACATTCATGAGGATGAAGACGATATATATATATATTCTTTATGAAATTTTTGTTTCAAATTATAGTTTTACTAACAACATTTAAAAGTTTTTTCTCTTCATTGGTTGATTAGTCAAACCATTAAATAAATCGAATATACCCTCTAGAATTATACTGTATTATAGTGGCTATTTAGCGACCATTCCTCTTGTCTAAATTGATATATATTTTTTTTTAAATATGATGTTCAATCAAAAAAGTCTGTTTAATGTGATAATTCTTTTTACATGTTTCCAGTGATTTAACAGTTGACAGAATTTTATTTCGCGGTATAATATTCTTATTATTTTTTTGAATATTAACACTTCACTTTGTATAAAAACAATAATGACATTAAAAACCTCATAATCGTCGTCATATAACAAAAATTTCAAATACTCCATCATCAAACAAATATTTGATGAAAAATTCATATCCAACAAGCATTATCTATTAATTTTATCTATCTGTTTTGTGAAACTAACATATATTTTCAAAGAAAATAGTGGATGGAAGCTTTGGGGTTTTCTTCCTCCAATTATACATATTAGCTACTGAGGGTAATAGGAGTTAGACTCTTTTCTAAGAGTTTCTTAGGAACGGACAAAAAAAAAACAGTGAACGGTATTAATGACAAGACTTAGATTGTTTCAGAAAATTCTAAAACATTCCAAAGTATTCCTCAATATTTGAATAGCTACAATACCTTTGAGAATGCTTTAAATAGTGCAGTTTTTTGATTTTTGCACAGATAAAAATTTATATTTAAGATGTCACAGATAATGGGTAGTCATGCATTAATTTGCCACAATCATCATATATAATTAATATAAAAAGATTTGAACTGATCAAGTTAGTCCTTTGAAAAATAATCAATATCAATGTTTGTGAACTTATTGAGATATATAATAATGCATTGAGATCTGATGCAAATATAATCGATATGTACAACAGGCTTATTTGCCAATTAAGAAAAACGGAATATGAAAATAAAATGCAATAAGGTAAACAAAAAGATAGAGCACAAGTAAAAGAAATTCTCTTCGAAATGCAGAAATAAATAAGACGCATGGCTTCTCTATTGATCGATTATCCTTGAAAAACAACTGTAGTCTGAGGAAGATTTTTTACTTAACATATTTTGTATTAATATAATGAGGCTAATCCATTGAAATTATAATTTCATTTGCTACTATTAGAATGTTTCATATGTTGCTTTAAGATGAAATCCAAAGGCTCTAATGAATCTTTAAAAAAAAATTAGTCTCGATAATTCCTCGTTTATCCAAAAATCATATGAAATATAGATCTATGAAAACTCTTATTATCTTATATGTATGCACGAACGTTTTACGATTTATCGAAATAAACAACTCTGTATTTATATAAATATTCGAAGAAGAATAAAATAGAAAATAATATTGTTTAGATAGATTCATTTTTTGATAGAAAATTATGTTTTTTAGTCGTATAAGTTATTTGTGTGTAAACAATCTCATTAGATGTTAAATAAGATATCTGTAACGTCATTGATGATATAATAAATATTGTATGTATTGATCAACGGAACAATTAACTATTTATTAAATGATATCGCATTAGTATCAATAGGAAATCTTCTAGGAATAGTTTAAAAATAAAAATCGAACTTTGTTTTTGTTCAAAATGAAAAACTCTCTAGTGATAATTGATATATTTTTCTTGATCAACAGATGTCACTATTAAACTACTGAAGTAATCATCATTCAAAATCTCGATTAAATCTGTTTAATAAAAAAACAAATATTTCAAAAATCGAATAGTAAGATGACGAAATTTGCTTCATAATTATATTATAAATATTGACATTGAGAATAATTGCTTTTCTTTTTTTGGTACTTTTGTGTTAAGACAGATGTTAGTTAGTTAGTCCTTTTCTATGATGAATAATACCGGAAGATATCATTTTTTTTTTCTTCCTAGTCTTATTGTTGTTCCTTTTGCCTCCTTTGTTTATTACTTATGATATTCTCATTATGGCACAAGACAGCATTAGTACCATTTGCTACTGATAGAATAATTATATACGCATTTTTATATATGAATATCTATTGAGGTAAGACATACAATTGCACTGATATTAGATTCTATTGTCAAAATATATTCAACAATATTGTGTTAGAATCGACATATGTTGTATCCAATTTCTTTTCTTATTTCATTCATTACACTTATTCTTTACAAATGGTTGTTTTGTCATCACAATCTACACTTGTTTTACGTCGAATTATTCGTTCCAAACGTCGAACTATAGAAGTAGGATTATCCATAAGAAAAAATGTTTTAATACTAAATAAGAGAATAATAAAACATTATTAAAAAATTTTTTTTTTACATAAGATGTTTCATGAATATCTACAATTTAAATTTATTTTTTAACTTTTGCTTTTTTGATATGAATAGAATATTCAGGAAATGTCTCAAATAGAATGTTTTTATGATTATCTTTGTCTTATTTTTTTCAAAAAATACTTTCATTATCTGATTATAATAGTCATAAATTAAAAAAACAGAAGTTTTGAGTATTATAAATTTTAAGAATTTGATAAAATTCTGTCATGTTATATTTAAGATTACTTAGATGTTTTTGGAATTAATTACAGTATAATTTGCATAACTTCTTATATGATGAAAACAAGATTTCGATAAGAATATATGGATTATTTCAGGTAAAACGGGACCATACTCACCTTTCATTCTTTACAAGGACTATTTTTCTGTATAAGTTCTTGTGTAGCACAGACATATGTAAAAGTGTTGGCTCTTCCAACTGACTATTAAAGGAATAGAAAGTAATTAGCGAATATCGCTTTACATCATATGAGAAAAGAATCGGAAAACTTCAGGATAGACTCTATGGTATGAACCGGATGTATGGTGAAATTTTTAGCAAGATCGAACTCTAAAAAACTTTCTAATAAAAACCGATTTTCTAGAGATCCAATCAAGTTCTTACACAAAAATTTTTGTCTCATCATCATCTAGAGATTTTAAAGAAGAATTTATATTGATTAAAATTTCTTTTGAACTTCTCATTCAGTTATAAGAACATTTTTTTCATTTGTATAATCGCACTTCGTCACGTCGCTAACGTTAGTTTTTTTTACTGGTAACTTCTCTAAACAAAAAATTTCATTATTTCGAGATACACGCATTTTTATTTTGCATAGTGACGTCACTAACGAATGATTTTGCCTATATATTTAACAGAAAAAACTTGTTATTTGTAAGTTTCGTCGTTACGATTAAGGGCAATGAAGAAATTTGATTGATGCCGTCTAAATATTTTATATATGACTAATGTAATTAATGAAACTTATTATAAGATATCATTTATTTAACTATCTTATTTGAAAGCATTTATAAAATATTAATCATTCTATATATTTATATAATTATATTCTAATATTATTTTATCTAAGTTTTATTTTGTTTTTATTTAATGTTCTCTTCCTATCTAAATCATAGTATTTACTGAAAGTATATAGTATGATCCATCGAGTGACACAACAAGCAGCTCTTGATAAATGAAAACGTTTCATATTTCATACAGACGACTTTCTTCATTTCGATTTTTTTTTCTTCATATCGTATCAAATTATGTGTACATCTGTATAAAATGTAAATTCTGCTTCGTTTTTTCTTCTTTTGCAAGATTTATGAATGATAGAAAAGTAGTGTAAGTCAATAATACTGTCCATTGTGACATACATTTTTCTGATTCTCTTCTCTTGCTTCATTACGATTGTTTTATATGAAAATAAAAGAGAGAACGAAATAAATCGGACTTTTTTAACTAGTTAAAAATATGAATAAATTTGTTAGAGTAATTCTGTTCGATAGTTAAGTGTCTTTTTGAATACTCAACCCCTTTTATCGTTTGTTTTTCTTTTTTGTTTTTTTTTTATGTTGTTTGACAAAATGAAACGTTGATAGGTATATAAAAACATAATTAATTCGAACAATTTAACATTTAATATTCTGTTGAGATGCAAATGTTATGTATTATTTCTAATGTGATTTTATTTTCTTCTCTTTTGAAAAATTCATCATATTTTTAGCCTTTTTTTTTTATATGAGACTAAGTCGTTGTCCAA